ACTTATATCTGACAAATAGACTTTATTTTTTTTAAATCTTTATGTTCCTTTATTGGAGCAAGATTCCTGACCAGTATACAGTGATGTATTCACTAAACAGAGACCTGTGCAGAAATTACATACTATCCATCTAGATAGGTTTAATTACACTTTGCCTATTGATGGAATAGTTCCACTTACAAAAATTACAACAGAGAAATGTCAATTCTGAATAAGATCCTACAGGTTCTGCTGATTCTCCCATCGAATGGCAGGGCTCAAGTCATCATTAGGAGAGAATTTTATTTTAAAAGTGTCTTGTTAGACTGCAGGGATGTCCGTTAAACATCACAATTAACATGCCAAAGGACAAGCCATGTTGTCAAAATGCCCACTTAACCTATCCAAATATGACAAACCCACCCTTTGCTGACCTTCTATACCCCTCTTTTTTACGTTTTTTTTTTTCTTTTTTTAAACAGATACATGTTGGTAAATGCTAACTGTCCATATTCACATAGAGACAGTGTAATCTCTGAGCCCAATATACAGAGAAAGGAGGAAAATAGCTAGAATTCTATGCACTATTACACAGGGGACTAGCATCCTCCAGCTCCCAGCAGAGCTAAAGGAGCAGAAGGTTTTTCTTTTTTCCCACAGAGCATGGTGGTGTTGACTCCATTAAGTTTTTCTTGAGACAGGAAGGGATAAAAATGAATTTGGGACAGAAAGCGGCAAAGATTCTTTTCCCACTGTATTCTGCTCAAGGTACATACACCCCAAATAAGGTGAGAACCATGGTGTAAAGGAGAGAAAAGAGACCTCAAAAACAGGGCGCAAGAGGGAGAAAAAAAAGACAAAAAAAAAAAAAAAAGTCTGCAACTTGCTCCCATCATCCATGTCAGGAACCAAGTAGTACTGTAATAGATTTGGCCAAATGTCATCTTTAATGACTTCTCCTGACTCATCTGCACCTGCATCAGAATGGTCAGTAAACCAGGTAAAGAAGCTTTCTGGTTCCTCATTCTAACTCTTCCTGCTGGCTTTATTCTGTGTTGACTTGAACGTTTCGTCAAATCCTTTCCAGATTTCCATTTGATTTCAGTGGACTTTGAAGATGGATCACCACTCTCATTCAGATAAAACTCTTTGGAAAAAACTCTATTTTCAAAGTAAGGATTTTCATCAAAATAAAAATCTATTCTGTAACCCGATTTAATATCTTCAAATTCTGTCTCTTGAACACTTGTCAAATAATGCAGCACCTCTTCATCCTCTTCGCCTGGCAGTGTAGACACTTGTGGATGGCTGACAAATGTTGTTACCCAAAAATTTGGGATTTTGGCGGTCAATTCTGATCTCTTCTGAAAAAAATGGTTGGTGGAGTTTGTTATATTTCTGTTGTTCTACTTTCAAAAATCTCCTTACTGGCTTGTTTAAGTCTGTCTATTTCATTTTGTACTTCATCAATATGTTCAATCGTTTCTTACTGTTCTTTTTCTCCCTTTGGCACGTCCTGAGGGGTCGGCTTCTTCTCCAGCTTGGGGGCTGGAGGCAGTTTTGGTTTCTTCATTTGAGGTGGGAGCGAGGACTGGCGTTTGGGGGCCATGCTGTGAGGAAAGTTGGAGGATCTGATCGCTGGGAAGTCACCAGGCTCGAAGGGCATGCTGAGCACTCCAAAATAGACTTTAAAAGTATGCTAAGCAAAATAACCCAGTCAGGGAAAGATAAATATCATAGGATCGCATTCATTTTTTGAATATAACGAACATAAACTGACGAACAAAAATAGAGCCCGGGGGGGGGGGGGGGGGACCAGACCATAAAATTTACTAGAATATAATATAAGTAATTTTGTTATTTGCAGATTTTTAATATTTCCTACAACCTTTGTGATATCGTACTGTATTAGTATAGTTTTGGTAATATTATACTTAAAATCCTTTTACTCTTGAAATATTAATGTTTATTGCACGTAATATTAAAAAAAAGAATACTATACAGGGATTCAACAGTAGAGTAAAGGGTTCTGTGAATCAAATCAACAATTTGTAATATGAGAAAGCAAAAAATACCCCATCAGAAGAGCAAAAAGTATGAAGATAGTTTAAAAAGCCTCTGAGACAACTTCAAACATACCAACATTCACATTTTGGGAGTGCCAGAAGGAGAAGAGAGCAAGATATAGAAAACCTATTTGAATTAATAGTGACAAAAACTTCCCCTACCTGGTGAAAGAGATAGATTTACAAGTCCAGGAAGCACAGAGAGTCCCTAACAAGAGGAACCCAAAGAGGCCCACACCAAGACTCATCATAATTAAAATGCCAAAGATTAAAGACAAAGAGAATCGTATAAGCAGCAAGAGAAAAGCCATTAGTTACCTATAAGGGAGTGCCCATATGACTGTCAGCTGATTTCTCAACAGAAACTTTGCAGGCCAGAAAAAAGTTAAAAAAATATGCAAGAAAATGGTAATAAATACATATCTATCAACAACTAAATCTAAAAATCAAAATAAACAAACAAGAAATCTAAGAAACAAAATAAACTGGTGAATGAAATAGTATCAGAGACATAGAAACATGGAACAGACTGACGAATCACAGAGGGAAAGGGCTGGGAGGTTGGAAGAGATTAACCAAAGATCTTACCTATGGACACAGAAAGTAGGGTGGTGAAGGCCTAGGGCTGGGTGAGAACTAGATAGAGGGAAGCAATGAGGGGCCAAAAAAAGGGAGACATCTATAATAATCTCAACAACAAAAATTTAAATATATATATGTATATATGTACATTAAAAACAGTTTGAAAACAGAAAAAAAGCAAAAGTGTTAAATGTTTTTATCTCAACACCCAGTGGTATTTTTAAATGTTGCATCAAGCTGCATTTTTTAAAAAATATATATTTTATTGATTTTTTACAGAGAGGAAGGGAAGAGGAATAGAGAGTTAGAAACATCGATGAGAGAGAAGCATTGATCAGCTGCCTCCTGCACACCCCCTACTGGGGATGTGCCTGCAACCAAGGTACATGCCCTTGACTGGAATCGAACCTGGGACCCTTCAGTCCACAGACTGACGCTCTATCCACTGAGCCAAACCGTTTAGGGCAAACTGCAATTTTTTTTTAATACTTAACCGAGGATATGTTTTTATTGATTTTAGAAAGAGAGGAAAGGAGAGAGAAAAGAGAGAGACAGAGAGAAATAGAGAGAGAGAGAGACAGAGAGAGAGAGGAAAAAAAACCATTGATGAGAGAATCATTGATCAGCTGCCTCCTGCACACCCCCACAGGATCAAGCCAGCAACTTGGGCATGTACCCTGACCAGTAATTGGTTCATAGGTCAATGCTCAACCACTGAGCCACTCCGGCCAAGCAAAATGTTTTTGTTTTGTTTTTTTGTATATATGATAGAAACAGTAAACATTTGGGAAAATGGTTAGAATTTAAAACTATCAATACCTTCACAATGTATTATTTAGTCAAATTACCGTATTTGCCGGCGTATAAGACGATTTTTTGGCCCTGAAAAATATGCCTCCAAGTGGGGGGTCGTCTTATACGCCAGGTACACTTCAGATAGACTGCCCATAGTGCTTGCCCCGTGCCACAGTGGCCTCCCGATGCCCGCCCACTTCATTCCACATACCGTTCAGGCATCAGCAGCGCTGCTGGGTGTATGCTCGGCTGTTATGCGATTTTACCACACTCGCAAAATCGCACACAGCCGACCATACACCCAGTATGATAGCGCAAAATCGCGAATCGC